ATTGATTTCTCAGTTTTTGTGGTAAAGGAAATACTCTGTATGATTTCAATCATTTTATATTTTATTGAGGCTCCTTTATGAATTAGCAAACATTTTCCCCCTTATTTTTTTAATTGATTTTATTTTTTAAAATATACAACAGTGGAATGCATTACAATTCTTATTACACATATACAGCACAATTTTTCATCTTTGTACATAAAGTATGTTCATGCCAATTCATGTCTTTATACATGTACATTTTTGCATTACAATTCTTATTACACACATATACCATAATTTTTCATATCTTATCTGGAGAAATTCCATGTGCACTTGTGAAGAATGTGTATTTGTTGACTAGTGTAATACAAATCTTGTTATTCATAGTGTTGTTCAAAGCCTCTTCATCCATGTCAGTTTGTTATCTAATTGTTCCATTCATTATTGGAAAGTGTATATTAATGTCTCCAAATGCTTATGTACTTCTCCCTTGAATTTTTTCACTTCATATGGAGTTTTTGTTAGATATGTGTATATATAATTGTTATATCCTAATTGATTGACCCTTTTATTATAAAATATCCCTTTTGTCTCTATCAGAAATTTTGCTTTAAAGTTTGTCTGATATTACTAAGTCCATCAGTAGGGCTCGCTTATGCTTGTGTTTACATGGTATATCATTTTCATCCTTTGTCAATTTGTATCTTTGCAATAGACTCTCCACTGTACACAGAACATAGTTTGATGTTTTTTTTTTTTTATCCAACCCGACAATTTATGCCTTTTGGTTGGATTTTATAATCCAGTGACATTTACTACTACTCTTGATGTGGATGGATTAGCATAATCTCTATTGCTTTTAAATATCACTTATAATACACAATTACTAATTCCTTATGGGTCAATCACAGATTTCTTTTAATTCTGGTCCATTGGTCATTGATATTATTGTAATACTATAGGTTTATAATATCTGTTAGTTTCAGGTAATCCTATTTATTCTCATTGCTCCAATACTTCAGAAATTGCTTGTTCAATTACACACACACACACACACACACACACACTTAACCTTCCAGATGAATTTGAAATTTTTTTTTGCTTTGGTACTGTGTTAATCTGTTTTCCATTCCTATAAAAGAAAACCTTAGGCTGTGTACTTTATAAAGAAAATATGTTTATTTAGCTCACAGTTTTGGAAGGTGAAAATCTAAACATGGTGCCAGCTCTGGAAAAGGCCCCACTGGCTCTATCTCATGGCAAATGGCATCATGAAGAGAACCCATGTCAGAAGGAGAGATCACATGGCAAGATAGGAAGCTAGGGTGGAGAGGGGTCAGTCTTGCTCTTTTCTGTAACACCCTTCTCACAAGAACTAACCAGTATCTGACAGCAACAGTAATTCTGAGGGCAGTACCCCCAGTGACCCAATGACTTCCTTCTACACCCTATCTTTTACAAGTTCCACCACCTCTCAACACTACCACACTGAAGACCAAGCTTCCAACACATGATAATTTTGTAGACACAATCAAGCCATATTAGGTCTCTTCTCCTGCTTAAAAAAGAAGCATGTTGAAATTTTAGTGGGCTAATATATTTATAGATTAATTTTATCAAAAGTGTCATCTTTATAATGGTAAGTTTTCTTATCCATGAACATGGTAATGTATAATTAAGTCTTTTATTATGTCCCTATATGATTATTTTCTAATAGATTCTACATATTTTTTTTTAAAAACACACATGCATGTATGTCACACATATGACCTCTCTATAAAATCATGTGATATTTTATTGTACTTGTTAAACTGGACTTGTAAAATCTAGAATATGACTGGCCCCTAGAAATCATTGTCCTCATACCTTCCCAGTCATCTCTTCCTGAATGCAATATTTGTCATTCCTCAGCCATGTAACATGCACCAGACTCTTCCCATACTCCCTGTGCAGCATCTGCCCCTCTCTCCATCATCACTACCATGTCTCCTGCAGTGGGATCTACATACAATGGTCCAACACCTGTAGAGAAATGTTGCTCATTTTCAACACTATGCTGGAGATGCTTGGACTTTTCTATTTCTCTATATTTTTTATAATGGGTTCCTTCATTTACACAAAAAACATGTAAAATTTTTATTGAAATTATAATGAATTTGTATATTGTATTGGGCAGAAATGACATCTTTACATTAATGACTTTCCAATTCATGACCATGATCCATCTTTCCATTTATTTAGTTCTTCTAACATTTCTCCAAACTGTATAGTTTTGGGGGGAAGATTATATATCTATCTTCATATTTTTATAATTTTGGAAGAATCTGATTTAAAATTTTCTGTTTGTAAATGAGTATGTTAATCCCAGCAGGAGTGGAATGGACTGAGCCCTTTCAAGGGTATAAGACAAACCTCTGAGGCACTGATCTTGTCTGAAGTGCAAAAGTACTGGTTAATAGTGGGCCCAAGCTGGGTGTTGGTGGTTTGTACTGGCTTATAACCATCATTTACTGATGATCATGACATTAATGACTGACTAGGTTCTCAGTTGTTCTTGATAAGGACACAGAAGGGCTTAGTCCACATAGCCACCAGGTATAAGCAGCCCAATCTACTCTCCTTTAGGGGCTTCCTGGATTTGAGATATTCTCTGCACGTGTGGCAGGTTTCTAATCTCAGGGGGTTCATGGATCCCAGGACAGCCCTGCAGAAGAAAACTGGAAGCAACATCTCTGACTCCACACTGTGAGGCAACCTAGGGTTACATGCTTGTCCTCACTGGATACATAAGCTATTGTTATGCCAGTTCCTTTTCCTTCAATAAAATGTAGATTCCTCCTAAGCATTGCCATTTGGGGTCCTGAGCCCTAGTATCCAGACATAAGTTGATTCTTTTTTTTATATACAATGAAATTTACTTTGATATATTTATATATGTACATAGCATAGATCTCTTTAAGCTTTAAAATGAGATACATGTTGTGCTTCTCCAAGAGGAGTTATGGTAGAGAGCCTCTTATTTTTTAAAATATTTTTTTAGTTTTAGTTGGACACAGTATCTTTGTTTATTTTTATATGGTGCTGAGGATTGAGCCCAGTGCCTCACACATGCGAGGCGGGAGCTCTGCCACTAAGCTACAGTCCCAGCCCGAGAGCCTGTTCTTCTCTACAGAGCATTTTATGGAAGTTGTTCTCCATGGAACCCTTTTTGGTAACTGCTGCATGGTGTCCATAGTTCTTTTTTCAAAAATATTTTTATTAGTGTATTATCTTTATACATAACTATAATTTTGACATAATTATACTTGCATGAAATTTAATTTGCTCCATTTCAGTCCTTCGTACTTCCTCTTTCCCTCCCCTCCTCCCTCTGCCATTCCCCTTCCTCTACTCTGTTGGTCTGTCTTCTATTTATTTATTGTTTTTTTAATTGGTGCTTAATAGACAAGTTGATTCTTGATTATGGACCTGTGTTTAGCAAACTTGTATACTCATGTAGCCATTATGCAATTCATCTGTAGACTCCTTTAGACTTCTATGCTTATCCACTCACTGTGTAGAACTTCCAATATGATGCATAGAATCTGAATATAATATCCATGAATTATTCCCAATACAAAGCACTTTATAAACATTTCAGCAAGAAGTATAAAGGAAGTAATCTTCCATTTCTAATTTTGAGGGGTTTTTACATGAAGAGGTGTTAAATTTTGTAAAAGTCCTTTTTTAAAAATATATCTTTATTTTTATGTGATGCTAAGGATTGAACCCAGTGCCTCACATATGTGAGGCAAGCGCTCTGCCACTGAGCCACAACCTCAGCTCCCAAAGGCTTTTTTTTTTTTTTATTGAAGTAGTGTAATGACCTTATGAGAATGTTCAATTTTGGTTTTTGGTGGTTCTATGGAAGGTATTGCATAATTAGTAACTTAAAAAAATTAGCTAAAGTTGATACATTGCTGAGGGAATAGGTCAGAGAATCACAAACTACTTTAGTGAAATAGCAATCGTTATGTATTAAAAATTTCCCTCAATTCCACTATCATAAAAGGCCTTTCTATATGGTTGGTATTATTTTTTTGTGGCAAACCAATAAAAGTTTTAAAAAATAAATCAGCCATTTAGTTTAATCGGCATATAAAAGGCCTTTTACAAAATTTAACACCTTTTTGTGCAAAAAACCCTCAGTTTTTTTGGAGGTTTAGGCCCCTTAGGCCTGCACAGGGAGCACAGCTGATGCTTTACATTCAGGATGCATGAACTAATAAGGCATGAAACTGGCTTTGGGTCCCACTTCATCTTACCCTAATTTTTATTTCTGAGAGTCTACATGAAGTAATTAAATCATCAGTGGATTTCAGACTCACTGGGCCCATTGTGAGACATTCAGACTTGCATCCCTCTGCCCAGAACACAGTATCTAGGACATAGAAGGGCTCTTCTACTAGGCATAAGGGAGTTCATGCATCCTGCCACAACCCTGCAGAAGAGAACTGGAGCCAACCCCTCTGACTCCACACTGTTTGGCGGCCTGAAGCTACATGCTGGACCAGGCCCGGGAGGTTGGGAAGCATTTACTGAATGCCTGCAATGTAAAGGTCAAGAGGCAAAGTTGGGACAAGACTTCACCAGTCTCAAGGACCTGAGGGTCTTGGCTAAACCCTCTTTCCCTCACACAAACAGACTCAGCTGAGGCAGACTGTACCAAAATAGCACCTTTATTTCTTGTGGCCCCATGGGATGAGGTTGAGGGTGGGGCACATCCTGGTCTAAAAGGGCATCAGGCCCTGCTTGGTAGGCAGGTCAGAGTCTTTCTCCTCATGGACTTCTAGAGTCTTGGGGCTGGCCTGTGGAAGGTCAGGGTCAAGGGTGGCAGTCTTCATCAATCCTAAGCCCACACCACCCCTTCTCACCTCATATCTCCATGCCTTTGATAGGCCTTGTCTATGCCCCCAAGGGAACACCCTTTGCCCACAGACCACCTCTGAGGATTTTAGGCCCCTCTTTGCCCTCCCTTTAGGATATATCTGTGCTTCCTTCCATCAGATTCCAGGAATCACCACCTTTTGTGGGCCAGCTCCTTCCTCTTGCAAACTCTGGGTTTGAGCAGGTACCTGCAATCCATGCTTTTCCAGCTCTTCCTTCAGCCTGATCCAGAAGGGGTAGGTAGGAAGATGAATTTAGGAATGGAAGAGGTAAAGGGGTGCAGGAGAGACAAGAGTATGTGAAGACACAGGTGGGGAAGGGAAGAGAGACCCTTCATCCACCTTCCTGAAGAGGGTGAGGGCATAGGGGCTCTATGCCTACCTCTGCCGCTTCTGCTGCAGCTGCTGGCACCTCTGCTGCAGCTGCTGGTGGTGCTGGGCTGCAGCCTCCAGGAGCTCCTCAGCCTTCTGGTTCTCTTCCTTGAAGAGGTGCCTATGGGGCAAGGTGGGGAGTCAGCATGGGTCACTTCTTCCCTCTGCCCACCCCCACCTTCCATATCTTACACTGTTGCAGCTGCCTCCTGGCTGCGGAGGAAGAGCCCCTCAGTGAGGGTGGAGGGCCCCTCAGGCCTGCATAGAGAACACAGCCGATGCTTGACATCCTCCAGCTTCACCTCAACCAACTTCTCTGCAGTGGGAAGGGGTTGTGAGCAGGTATAGGCAGGAAGGCCAGGTCAGGGCCACCCTTCTCCCTGGCCTCACCTTCCTTGAGCAGCTGCTCCTTGCTGCTGTCCAGGGTGCAGGTCTCCCTTGCTAGCTGCTCTGGCCTCTGAAGGGGGCAGAAAGATTTGTCCACACCTGCCAGCTTCCCATGCCTCAAAGAAATCTGCCTGGACGTGGCCATTGACCCCCTCACCAGGACTCACTTCCTAGTACCCTGCCCCTCTGTGTATGTGAGCCACAATCCAGCCTCAGGACCTTTGTAGTTGTAATTCCTGACTTCCCCATCCCCCCCATTCCCCAGAAACAGGCCTTGGGCAAGTTTTACACAAGAGAAACCCCAAAACCTATGCCTCTGGCCCTTTATCTAGAGATATGGTCACCAGCACAGTACTGAAGCTCCTCCCCTTCTCTCCTGCCCTCTCTGGCCTCCTTACTGATCCTTTCCCTCCTGATTCATGTTTCCTTGTTTGATGTCTGGGATCCGCTGTGGACAAGCACCTGCTGCTTGTTCCGTCTTCCCATCTGTGAACATCCTCAATAATGGAGGACTCCACCTTGGCTTCATCAGGATTCCTCCTGACCACTGAACAGACACAGGACGGCAGCACAGATAGGTGGGCAGGACCAGCAATAAGCACATAGGGTGCCTTGAAGGTGGTGACAAGAAGCTGAATTGGGGGAATGGTGACAACAGGACCACCAGGGCTTGCACAGGAACAGGTGGGGCAGATGAGGTGTGAAAGGTCAAAAGCATGTCAAAGTGACTCACGTGAAATTCCCAGAGGTCCTTGTGCTGGCTCATCAGAGCCTCCAGCTGTTCTTCAAAATCCAACCTGGGGCCCAACCACACAGGCATGAGGACCCTGGGCTGAGACTACTGACCCAGTTAGGTCTTCATACATAGCCCTTGGGATATGCCATGTGCTCCATGGGGAGCAATTTCACCCCTTGGACCCTCCAAGGCTCAATTCAGCCAGCTTCTCTAACTCATCCCTAACATTACCCTACCTGTGCCTCTCTGGGCCCCAGATCTCATGCACAGGATTTACCTTAGCTGTCTTTGTTTGTTTTTCTCTTCCTCAATCTGGGAGTTCAGGGCAAAAATTCTCTCCTTGCACTCTTGCAACAGGGTATGCTTCCTGGAAAGGGAGGCAGCCCTCATCCACAATCTCTGATAGACTCCTTGGGAGGGGGTTGAGGGGCTTCTGTTCTATCCCTTTATTCAGGTTCATGTCTGGTAACATGGTAGTGGGTGAGAGAGGGTGACAGGAGCACTTTCCCCCCGTTGTGAGATTTCAGGAGATCCATGAAAGCATGGTCTCTCACCTCTGTGCCTCACTCTCCTTCTCCTGGCAGTGTAGACGAAGGATCCTCAGGGATTCTGCAAGGGAGAATAACAGGGCCCTCTCTATAAGAGCCCATCAAGGCACCAGGTTTGGGCAGAGGGAATAAGGACAGATCATATCAGATGTGTGGGCACCTTATTGGGTTTTGATATTTTCTGAGTCTGGTGGAAACCACAAGAGGAACACAAAATCAGGGGTTTTTAAAGGCTTCAGGTACTGTAGGAAGAGTGGGCTTCTGTGGAATAGCACAGGCAAAAGCCTGGAAACACAGAAGCCAGAAATACCTTGCTTTTTGCTCAATATCTCCTTCAGGTGTACTTTCTCTTCATGCACTGGAAAGCACAGAGAATGTTTAGCATCAAGGACTTCCCATGATATGGTCAGAGAGTCACATGGGGAACTGTGTAGAGCCCTGTCCTCAACCCAATCAAGGACCTCTTGAGGTGAGCACCCTCTTCTTGGTGCCCACCCTCCCTATAAACACCAAGGGCCCTTGGATTCACAAAGATTGTCTGTGAGGATCTTGTGACACCCACCAGGGCTGGGAAGAAACACGTCAAGGAGGAAGGGGCATTTGACCACATGGAGGCAGGGTGGTGTCTTTAGGGAGGATGACTAGGGAAGGACTCTCTGAGAAGGGAACACAAGACAACCCTGAATGGTAACAGAGGCAACAGGGACTTGTATAATCTGGGGGAACACAGAGAATCCTGGCAAAGGCCCAGCAAAGGTGTGCTTGGTGGGCATTTCTAGAACACTCCACCATGAGAACAGGGTATTGGAAGGACATAAAGAATCTGAAGCTGCAGAGAGGGCAGGACACTTGGCTGTGGTAAGAATACTAAGTATCTGGAAAACTAAGTTAGGAGAGGCTTGAGACATTGTGGGGACCGCTGTTGACTTCTAGATTGCTTACAGGAGTCGAGTTCCTTCTGAAGGGCATCCCAGACAGTCCGGGCCTCTCCCAGCTCCTCACTCGCTTTCTTTTTTGCTTCATCAGAGAGCAGATGGACACGACATTGAATGAGTACAACCTCTCACCGCAAACAGTGACAGTTAATACTTGTTTTCAAGTATTAACTAGAGGGGCCCAGATTTTACAGAGCAGGTAACTTTCACAGTACAAGCCTTTCTTGCCAGGCTTGCATAGCAGTAGGATCAAGTTCACAGGCAGACTACGGTAGCTGCATGCAGAGAGTTCTGTACTTAATACTCTGTTGTTAATGTCATGACATATCTATATACATATTTTTTTTAAAACACAGGCTTCTATATTTTTACTTTGCCCTGGGGCTGGCAAAGCATGTAGCCAGTTCTGGAAAACAGCCAAGGTCCCTGAGCTCACCTTGCTGAACCTCATTAATTCGGTTAATCAGGACCTCAATCTGGGGCTCTAGACTTCCAGCTGCAGGGAGGAAAGGAGACTGAGATGATGACAGAGCAGGCAGAGATGATGGGTGCCTGCCTGTGTCTACTATCTCACTCTACACAAATCTACTGAGCATCTCCTGTGCACAGGTGTTACATCATGGGCTCACATTCTGGGCAGGGAGACAAAATACAGACCAATAGAGATTCTGAATCAGGTTGTGATAACTGCAGTCATGAGAAATGAAGTGGGGCAAGGGGTAAAGAATGCAGGAGTAGGAATGGGAAAATGTCTTATGGGCCCCATATCACACAAGAGGACAGGCCTTGAAGCTCTCGGGTAGAGTGTGGGTAGTCAGTGCAAAGGCTTACCCTAAAGAGGGGAGGGAGAAGCTTAGTGAGCAAGTAGCGGGTAGTGGAGCTGAGGGAGAAGGAAGTATGGTGTAGGTAAAAACCTCTGGATCTAACAGGAGTGCTGTGGGAGCCAAGTGGGTGACCAGCAAGGAGCTTGGGACAGCATTTTGAGGAAAAAACATTGCCTTCTAACTCCTTATATTTCTGCAATTTTGAATCATAGAGCCCTTTTTATCATTTACAATATTGAATTTTAAAATAAAGTGAAAGTGAATGCAATAATTTCCCAGGGTTGTGAACTGTGGGGCTAGGATTAAACCCACATCTGCCTAACCTCAAACCTCAGGCTAAACCTAATACACAGAGGAGACTCTTGACCTTTCTGCAGCTTTTTCACCATTTCCATCAAGCCTTCAATTTTTTGTGTAGACACATCCTGCCCTGTGGAGACAGAACCAAACATTTCAGAATGCAGTAGGGTGAAAGGCCAGGGGAAGTCTCTTAACAGAGCAACGTATGTTCCTTGTCCTGAGGCAGACAGGGCATTTAAGATGAACTGGGTGCGTCTGTGGTCAGCTTTTCCACCTACAGTGTAATGACACTATAGAGCCTCTTCACGAAACTCAAGGTAAAGGCATGACTGCACTCTACTGTTTGCGATCAAAGTTGAGCCAAAGTTTACAAAGTAATAATGGATAAAAGGGATATAAAAAACTAGCAATAAATTGAAAATCACTGCAACTGGCAGATGACATTAACCATTAGGAAATTCTAGAAAGTTTTATACAAAACAAGGACATAAGAAAATTTAAAAATATTATCTGGTTAAAGGTATACATGTATATATATACACACACACACATATATATATACACACACACATGCATATATATATACACATACATATATATACACATATATACATATACACATATACAAATAGTTTTCCTATGTATAATCAACAATGATCCTGGTTCCCTACAAAGTAACATTTCATATTAATTTCATAGTCATTACATACATCCATTTTTGGGGGGGTACTGGGGATTGAACTCAGGGGCACTTGACCACTGAACCATGTTCCCAGACCTATTTTGTATTTTATTTAGAGATAGGGTCTCACTGAGTTGCTTAGTGCCTCACCATTGCTGAGGCTAGCTTTGAACTCGTGATCCTTCTGCCTCAGCCTCCCAAGCCACTGGGATTACAGGCATGCACCACTGCCCCCAGCTTACATGTCCATTTTTAACCCTCTAATGAGGCCTAGGAAATAACTTATGTCATTAACATCACAATAAAGGTAACCAGACATCATGAACCAACTAAAGCAAAAAGAACTCTTGCCAAAAAATGATGCTCAGATTTACCAAAGCATCAGATCTAAATAGCAATTCAGAAAAAATTCAAGGATAGAACAACATGCTAAAAGGTATATCAGAGTACAATTAGTAACATCCAGACTGGGAACCTAAACAGGAAAAAAACATTTCACAAATAAATTTTCAGGGAAAAGAAAGGAGGAAGACAGACCCTCCTAACAATAAAAGAGGAGGAAAATAAGACCCTCAAAGAGACACATCAATAAATATCAAACAATGGTCTGTAAATGGATCTGGGTTCAAATAAATAAAAATACTAACACAATCAGCAAGCTTTCATAATTGACTAGCTATTTGATGAAATGAAGAAACTATTTTTTCTACTATAAAAATACAATAATGGCATTAGTTTCCTGGAAAGTGCTTATTTTCTAGAGATACACATGAAGATATTTATGGATGGTACTCTATGATGTCTTGGATGCTTTAAAATGAAATATTGAAGTGGGCAGTAGGGAGTGGGTATGGTAAAAAACAAAACAGAAATGAATGGCCAATAGTTATTAGCTGTTAAAGCTGTAAGATGAGAGTAATTATACCTTGTTTTCAACTTTGACATATGCTTACATTCACCAATAATTTTTTAAAGTTGTTTAACAATTTCCAAATCAATACAGTGAAGGTAAACAATCATTTTTATAGATGAGTGGAGAAAAGGAGATAAAAATGCAGTGGTTTGGATTCTTGCCTTCCATATGCTTATGTGGTAAAGGGTTGATATCTAGTGTGTGGTGGTATTGGGAGGTATTAGAACCTTTAAGAGGTGGGACCTATTTGAAAATCTCCCAGTCACATTGGGGCATGTGACTCTTGAAGGGGCTACTGGGACTCTGGTCATTTCTCCCTGCCTCTTTTTGCTTCCTGGCTGTCATGAGGTAAGCATCTTCCACTACAATGCACTCCTGCCACGACTGTCATCTTACCACAGGTCCAAAAGTGACAGGGCCAACTGATCATAGACTGAAATCTCCAAACCTGTGAGCCAAAATAAGCCTTTTCTCTTTTAAGTTATTTCACATATTTTGTTACAGTAAATGAAAGCTAACGATAACATAAAATTATATTATTTTTATATAAAAGTTACCAATACATATTTGAAAATAATTACTGTCATAATTAAAGTGCAAATTAACATACTGCACCGTGTTTGTGATACTATGCAGGAACCAGCACTCATGTTCACTGATAGAGACTATAGAAACCAATGTGACTTTTGGAAGACAGATTGGCTACACGATATTTGGAAGACATATGTCCAATTCCAGGAGTTTATTGATTAAATATCCTCAGTAAAGTATGCAAGATATATTTGATGGCAGTGAAAAGGATATTTGTCAAACTAAAAACATGAAACAGCTTGAGTGCTCATCATTAGAAAACTTAGGGTTTAACAGAATGCTATGTAGCCACTAAAAAGGAGGCAGATCCATATGTTAACATGAATAAGAGATCCTAAAAATGTTAAAGAGAAAAGAAGTGCAGTAACCACAGAAAGGTCAACCAATGTATGTATGCCATGTTTAGATTATTCCTAGACAGATCACACACCTGCATTTAAAACAAAAACAAAACAAAAAAAAACACCTGGACAGTGCTTACCTCTGACGGTAGGAATCCTTGACAAAGGAACAGGAAGGAGGAATTTGATTTTTCGCCACATACACGTCTGTATATTTTTATATTTTTAAAAATTTATGTTAGAAAAATATTTATGCCTTTTAAAAGGTCTTGAAAATCAATTAGAAAAATGCCAACTCTCCCATTTGAAGAAAAATGAGTAGAGAGCTTTAAAGGAACCCACATCAGCTTCCACACTGCCACCTGTTTCGGTGCCTGTGCCCCCTCCCCACTGGCACTTTCACACCGTGATTTTCTTGGGTGGCGATAGCCTGCAGTCTCCTGCACACTGTCGGCAGATGGGGGTGTGTGTGTGCCTAAGGGGCAGGCAGGTTCCTTGGGATCTGCAGGTGCCTGGGAGTACCAACGTGTTCAGGATCGTTGGGCACCCATGGGTCAGCAGGCCCCAGGAGCTGGGAAGAGGGTTCCAGAGGTGCCCAGGGTTTGAGAGGCGAGGGTGGCCCGTGCAGTTGGGAGGAGGATTGGAAAGTGCCCTGAGGTCGGGTCGGGAGGTCCCCACAGGGGTCGGAAGGTGTGTGATGGGGTGGTGGGCACGTGCCGGGGGTCTGCACCCCCAGCCGGCGTCTCCCCTGGTTTCACGGCTGCACAAAGCCCTGGTCGGCTCCTTCTGGGCCACCTCGACCCAGCAAGGTGGCGGCACGAACCGTTCTGGCTCACCCGCCATCCCCAAGTCCCTGGCGCCCCTGCGAGGCCAGCCGCAGGCGACTCCAAGACCGAGCTGGGGTCTCTCAGGGGCACAGGAGCGCGTCCTCTACGATGCCGGCACACACCAGGTAGTGGAGACCGCCAGCCGATCGCCCTCCCCAGGAACCGTTCGCGGGGGAACCTCGAGGTCCCCTCAGCCAGGCGGCCACTGCGCGAAGCCCTCCCGCGCCCGGCCCAGAAACCACTCCAGCGGGCTCTGCTGCCCAAGCCCCGCGCCTGCCACTACCTCTGGGGCCCTCGGCTCCCTGGGCCGGGTCCGCGGCTCCCGCGGGCTCCACCGTTGAGGGTCGGGGCCTGGCCGCCATGTCTCAGCGCGCGCCGCCGCCTTGTTCGACGGCTGATTGGACCAAACCCGCACGCGGGCCGCGCCTGCGCAGTGGCCTCCACGTGCCAGTTGGAAGCTGGGCGGGGTCGAAGTCTGGCTCTGTGCCTAGCTGTTACCGCGCAGGCTTGAAGCTTTAGCCCACAATTGCAAATCCGGTTTAGAGGATCGGGGAGTGTGCGAGCTTCCAAGCTGGTGATTGGCCAGTTGAGCAGGTAATCACTTGCGCGTGGGTAAAGTCCGCTGGGCCCCCAGCTCTGAGTTTCAGCAGTTGGAAGGATCAGCTCCTCTCTGCCAAGTGCAAGGCCCCCCCAAAGGATGGTTACCTGGTGTGGAGAGAAGCAGATACAAAGACGCTTCCAGAGTTTTCCCCAGGAGGTTGGGGGAAGAGCAGTCTCAGAGGGAACCCACCAACCATAACCCATAACCTCCGCAGCTCCAGAGGCCCAGCAGTGAGGCTTGGGCAGGGAGGAGGGACTGAATTATCTAGAATGTTCCAGGGTAGCGGGTGGGTGCTGCCTGCAGCTTCCAGAGGCATCTGGGTCATTCCCTTCTGAGCCTAGACGTGTTCACCATGACAATGGACAACCTGGTGCTGGCATTCAACCTCTTTTCTTAAAAGCCATGATCCTAAATCAGGAACACTTAATCCCAAAGACTATCTTTTCCTCAGGCTCTACAGTGTTTGTGCTTCCATCTTACAGCTCAGCCCTTGGGTAAACAAGTAACATGTCGGGTGGGCAGTATGTGGCTGCTTGGCCACCTGCAATCACGTTCACTCCTCTGTTGTGCCTGGTCTCTAGGCTGCAGGAGTGCGTGGTGTAGTTAGGTATAGTGGTTGGAGTCCTAGAGAAATTATTTTTTTGACTCTTTTTCTTGTCCTCTGAATTCCTGCCTCTGGTGATGACAACCATAACTACAGCCAGGCATGGCTTATAGGGATGGAAATAGATTTTATGCAGTACTGACAGTAAAGGAGAGAGCAGAGCTTTATTATTATTTGTGCAGAGATTATTTGCACTTTTAAAGCAAGAATGGGGAAGGGGAAATTGTGTCTAGAGATTCAGCAAAATGGAAAAGGACAAAAGTTTGATCAGTGTAAATGTGACTAGACCAGCAATGTTTGTGGCAATAGTCTAAGTAAGGATTCTATCTTTCTGCAGAGGCTGAGATGGACTTTTTCCTGGTTGATGATCATGTTTCTTAGAAATTGCTCTCAGGTTCTGAGAGAAGCCCTTCTGAATAGCAAGAGATGCATATTTTCTGTTTTAAGCTCTTTTTAGCAAATGCTTCAAAGCGGGGCGGTCAGGGGCTTATCTTCAGGTGTTGGCTTGGATGAGTAAGTTTCGCTGGAAGCAGTGGGTTTTCCTCAGGATG